TTTTTCAAGCAGGGGAGAAATCTGATTGGTCAGTCAACTTTCTCATTCAACAATCCGCATTACATGACGCAATTGGCTAAAATAAATTGGCTTTAGTATTCATGAGCAATGAAAACATCGTCTTTTTAGTAAAAGTGTACCAAAGTGTATTCTAATATCCCACGTGGTAGTTTTAAACTGAATGATCCTATCGTTAAAAACAACTAGTAAAACTATTGTATGGCGCAAACAAAAGTCGGCGCAAGAGGGCGTTGTGAACGACAATGCTGTGGTAGTCGGGAAAAAAACATGTGCTGGATCAAACTATAGTATTTTGCACCACAATAAAAAGTATGTCTTAATGTAATCCTAGTAAAAAAGTCAAAAGCACTACATAATTAGCAATTTTGATGTCAGTAATATGTTTTCAATTGTTACGTCGTTAAAAAAAATAAAACATTACAATGTTTGGAGAGGTAAAGTTTGTACATATTCGAGCCCATATGCAATCACTCGTTCGGCTACGATGCTCCTCTCGTTGTGTACGAATTGAAAAATACAGAGGTCATCTAGAAAAAGATCAACGTACGTGCGAGCTATTGATTTACAATATGAATTCTATTGAAAACGAGTTCCATTTTTTATTAATTTGTAACTTTTATAATCACATTAGATGTCCCACACTACAACTGCACCCCACCAACTGTAAATAAATTTCTTGAATTACTCAAAACTCAAAATGGTGTACTTCTACAACGTTTAGTTGCGTTTGTATTTAATGCTATTAAACTTAGGAGGTAAGCTGCCGAAATATTGTATATAATTTAATTTTTGTATATTTACTGTTTTTAGGCCGATGGCCATGTATTAAGGTTAAATACAGATCCTGTTCGATATGTATTTTGTCAACAATTGACGGCGATTGCGTTGGTCACACGAACAAGTGAAAAATACTGCACAAACACACAGAAGTGACGTCACAAAAACAATGCATATAAGGTGTTATATTTATTCCATATTGAGATAAATGTATTTAATTTAACTTAGTAATCATTGTTCGTAAGATACGTTGGCATATGTTTAATATCATCGTTAGGATCTTTATATAATTTGTATTTTGGCGATATATTTAATATCGACGTTAGGACCTTTATATAATGTTTATTTTGGCGATATATTAAATATCATCGTTAGGATCTTTATATAATTTGTATTTTGGCGATATATTTAATATCGACGTTAGGACCTTTATATAATGTTTATTTTGGCGATATATTTAATATCATCGTTAGAACCTTTCTATAATTTGTATTTTGGCGATATATTTAATATCATCGTTAGGACCTTTATAAAATTTGTATTTTGGCGATATAATTAATATCGACGTTAGGACCTTTATATAATGTTTATTTTGGCGATATATTTAATATCATCGTTAGGACCTTTATATAATTTGTATTTTGGCGATATATTTAATATCGACGTTAGGACCTTTATATAATGTTTATTTTGGCGATATATTAAATATCATCGTTAGGACCTTTATAAAATTTGTATTTTGGCGATATATTTAATATCGACGTTAGGACCTTTATATAATTTTTATTTTGGCGATATATTTAATATCATCGTTAGGACCTTTATAAAATTTGTATTTTGGCGATATATTTAATATCGACGTTAGGACCTTTATATAATTTGTATTTTGGCGATACATATAATATCATCGTTAGGACCTTTCTATAATTTGTATTTTGGCGATATATTTAATATCATCACCAGGACCTTTATATAATCTGTATTTTGGCGATATATATTTAATACAAGGAACTTGGAGCCTGATGTAACTTAGAATATAGTAATGAAGTGAGAAAAAAGGAATCTCATGAATTCATGTTACCTCAACTTGGAAATAGTATATGGGATATCTATTTTAAGTTCCTGCGCTTGAGAAGGAGTATAATTTCACCAAAACAAATACGTGTTTAGAGGCTTTTTTTGAAAAGCCCCCGGGGGTCATTTTCACGAGATCTCAGTATTTTTGCCCAGCAAACTCAACTAAACAATAGGGGGATTCTGCTACCAACTGCGACCAGCTATAAACTATTCACTACCAAAACTAAGTGAAATCGAGAGTGCCGTGCTACCTCAAGAACGTAACACATACCCCATAAATTTGACACCTCCCTTCCCAGAATACCCCCTCCTCCCCTACTCCGGCACCACACGAACAGCAATCATACAAATGTAAAGTTATTTGCGAATATTTCATAGACGCCGTACAACTATTTAAAGAATACTCAAGAAAAGTGTGTGCAGACCCCGGGACGGGAAACAGCTATATATTTTGACGAATTACTGCTTTAACCATAGCGCTAGTATTAACAGCGTCTCGAACGCTTTGAAAATATAACAGAAATATCTTATGGTTTTGATGACGAAGTCGAAAATGCATTATTGACAAGTGTAACAATTACACGATAATCCGCATATTATTTTCATTAGTTTAAATCAAGTTTCATCATGTTCCTTGGATTTTTCTAGACTTTTGATGTTGATATGTGTGTTCGAACGAGGACTGTCGACAATTACTTAGACGGATATAGATGTCGTTGGTTTGGAATAATAAGCTTGTAATAATATTAAAAAGCAGATTTTTTAAAAAAAACGCCTTTATTTTAATACAGAGGCACATTTTTTTCAATGTTATTGAATATATAGGCAGTACAATTATGTCGCTTTGATCCGTATCCCATCAGCGCTTGCAGTGTATACCCGCTGAGTTTGACCTCCATCTTGTTGTAGGTCAACATATCTACATCCGGGTTCTTTCCCGCATTGACAGTGTATCAGGTTAGTGTTCACAAAGGCTGTATTTTAACGTCGAATAAGCCTTGCACATATACAGGCTCTCAGATCGTGAAGTACGGCGTCGTATAATCACTCTCAGTGTTTTTAGATTCTTATCATAACAGGGGTACTTCATGTTTAGCGCCGAGGTTTAGCGGCTTTCGTGTACTATTCAGTAAAAGCACAGAGCAATCTCCCGCAGAGTCGTTGTCGACGAGTATAGCGACTGTGTGAGGTTATGGTGGCATATGTCTTCTCACCAACCCACACGTATCCCTTACAGTCAGAAACAAACACACGGGACTGCCGTAATTGAACATGTCGCAAAATCCTTCCATGTACTGGAGCACAGTCCCACTGTGCAATCAAGCATTTTCAATTATAATCACATAATTGTTGAGGGCGCTGTTCTATGTCATCATCTACACACTACAGCAGTTTAAGTTGACACTGTGAGACATGGATATAAACATTTGTCCAATAAATTTTGTAATTGTGTATGTCATGTATGAGGTTTCACCTCCCTACAGATCATGCTCATAACAATAATGACGACATAGATTTGCTATATTCTAAATATCAGATGGCAGCACACAATAGAAGTCATTGCAGTTAGCCTGTCTGTGTTTGTGTATTTACTAGTATATGTATGTGTGTTCCATGGATATCTCAACAACCACTTTTCAAAGTTCAATTAAACTTAGGAAATCTATTTTTGGAAAATGCACACATCTGATTAGTTTTTGTTTTATTTATGCATATTAATATCTTATTTGCATAATAATAATTAGCTATTTTTGTGCTATTTTCACTGATATCTAAACCACCATTCAACAGATTCTAATTTTATTTGGTACATATATTTCAAGAATATATTCCAAAGACTTGGTCTTTTCTTAGTTCAATTTCATTGCCTAATTCGCATAATAATTTACTTTTCGGTTTTCCATCAATTTTCTAAAGAGTTAATCATCACATTATAAAGGAACTTGGTACATATGTGCCCTGGAACAATATACAGCCGTAATGAATTTGGGATTGAAATCTATGCATAATAATTGTTTAATTTGCATAATAATTACCTATTTTCTTTTAAAAAACAATTATTCTATTTCAATAAAACTTGCTATATAAGTTCCTGGGAACAATGCATTAGGTTTGGATTGAAAAATCATAGATGCTGTGGGGTAACCACGGACGTGATTATTTCAATAATGAAAACAATTATTATCTAATTATTATTATTGAATTTCTGGTATCTCAAAAAATCAGATTTAAATTGAACTTGTGGTAGAGTTGCTGTGGAAACCACAGATGTAAAATCAAATGTATTTTCTGTAAGTATTATAAACTTCAATAATGTGGATCACATTGTACTTATCAAATAGCAGACAAATATTAGTTGCCAAGCTTCTTGTTTGCAAGGCTAATTAATTTATAATATGTCTTCAATACTCTCAGCACACGGGAGTTCTTTTTAAGCTTTCGTTGATATTAGTTGTTGACAGATGTCTAAGAATTATAATGAAACTTGGTACATAGATGCTCTGGGTCAAGCCATTTGATCTATATATTCTGCGCATACTTATTACATAATTTTCATGCATTTATTTTTAGGTTGAAATTTATGCATAATAATTACCTACTTTGCATAAGTTTGTAAATTTTCTGATATCTCATAAGCACTTAACAGTTTTAAATGAAACTTGTTGCATAAGTACTCTAGTATAGCCTAGACAACAGTTGTTAAATCAAATTCATTCTTTGTTTGATCAAACAATGTTCTGTCAACTGTCACTTACAGAGTACATGGATGAATGCAACTGTGCAAGCTAAAGTGGTTTACTATAAAGTTTGGAGTATTGATCTAACAAGAATTATCTGTAATAAGGTAACAATCACCATATTCGTTTTATAGGAGCCAAAACAGTACATCAAACTCACACTTCAGTTCTATATTTTTTTACAGAATATTCACATAAGTGCCATAAGTAACAATTGTAACCCTTGTATGAGAGGAAATAGTTCTATGCCTTTGGTTAATTTCATAGCAAGAATAAGGCATTTCTGATACTTATTGCTAAATGCTATTCAAAATGTACAAAAAAAAAATCAGTAAAGTACTTACAACTTACATTTTTTCTTATAGTGCACTTAAGGCAACCCATAAAATGGACTTCGACATAACAGAGTATAGAGACATGATTACCAGGCAACAAACTGTGTTGTTTGGAAATGGACCAATAACAGATTATTCTAGTAACAAACCATTTTTCAACACCACCATTCAATGTTCAGTGAATAATAAGCAGAAATGTTTACATACTGCGTCATGTAATTGTGCAAAATGTACAAAGACTGTTGCGATTGAACAAACATCCAAGCCACAGGTCAATATTGCATCTTTCCAGTGTGATTTATGCATGAAAAAATTTACTCGGCGAGACCACATGAACCGCCACAAGCGACTACACATTGATCAGAAACCGTTTACCTGTGATATATGTCTGAATAAATTTTCTCGTAAGGAGCATGTGAGACGACATCAACTACAACACACTGGTGAAAAGCCATACAAGTGCGACACATGTCAGAGAAGTTTCACAAGGAAAGAACACTTGAAGATTCATCAGAGAACACATACTGGTGAAACACCATTCAAATGTGAAATATGTGGGATAGTGTTCACAAGAAACGCTGCTTTGACCGCTCACAGGAAAACGCATACAGTGAATGCAATTGGTATGCACCCCACAGGCACTAATGCGGTTCCTGTGTTGCCTAGTTGTAGCAAGGCATTTCAAAACAGTGGTTTGGCTATTAACAGTAAAATAAGTACAGCAAATTCAATTGATAATAATGGTATTCATGTACAGCCGAATAATACAATTGCATTTCCTCCTCTGCCTGGTTGCAGCAAAACATTTCAAAAGGTTGGTGTTCACCAGAAGAGCATCAGGAAATTTTTTCAGAAATTACCTGAAGGAGAATTTGATTGTTACGATCTTTTTAAGGGAAGTCAGACGGAAAAGATACAGAATTCACAGAGCTCCGACTTTAATCTTAATCACAATTCAATCTCATATCAACAAGTCTACCCAAATACAAGTTATTTGTCTTGTTTGAACCAGGTTGTTGTGTCTAATAATAACCAAGGTCACCTGGATGGACAGAAGTCGATTGCTGATGGTCTCCATGTTACTTCCAATAGTGACCAAGGACACATTGATGGACAGAAGTCGATTGCTGATGGTCACCAAGTTGCTGCCAATAATGACCAAGGACACCTGGACGGGCAGAAGTCGATTGCTGTTGGTCACCATGTTGCTGCCAATAATGACCAAGGACACCTTGATGGACAGAAGTCGATTGCTGTTGGTCACCTTGCTGTTGTCAATAATGACCAAGGACACCTTGATGGACAGAAGTCGATTGCTGATGGTCACCTTGCTGTTGTCAATAATGACCAAGAACACCTGGATGGGAGAAAATTGATTGTTGATGGTTGCCATTTTGCCGCCAATAATGACCAAAGACACTTGGATGGACAGAAGTCAATTGCTGATGGTCACAATGGTTCTTCTAATAATGACCGAGATCACATTGACATGATCCCAGAGTCAATTGCTGATGGTTGCCACAATGCTTCCAATAATGACAATGAATACACTAACAACCAAGATGGCTGCTATTCAAGGAATATGCAGGATGAAGCTACATTGGATGCAGAATGTCCTAAAGGAATTTGTGTGAATGGCAACAATGTGAAACTGAAAGATGAAAAAAGGGATTTGCTGTGTACATGTGATGGCAATAATCAGGGACTGATAGCTGTGAAAGAAGAGCAGCACAAAGGATATAATACCAATAGTGAATTTATTACCTTTGACCCAACAAATATTGTAAAACGGGAAAACTGTTCAGACGGTAAACCAGTAATACCAGGATGGCATGCTCACTTACAAGTAGATGATGAAGGATGTCAAAAAAAATCTCCAACTAATCAGGTGAGTGGTGACAGTTCACCTCGAGATGATATGGATGAGGAGGAATCTTCTGATGACTACACCTGTGGGACATCTGAAGACAGCATAATTCACACTGTTGCTGAGAATGGCGACTGTGCCAGTGTAAATCACAGTGAAGGTCTATTAAATACAGTTGATGGGAAGCATGACACCAATGTGTCACCTAAGGCCGGCATACCAGATACTGTTAAAAACGACATGAAAGTTGATGATTCTATAGCTCAACATGAAAAGACTGAAGACATAGCATCTGATACAGACGTCTCCATTGTGTGCAGTGTTGATGATGACCCTCCTCATAAGGAGGGTAATAACAAAGATTCAACTCCATCTGTACACGAGCACCCTAATACCTCACCGACACAAGAAAGCCTATTCGCATGTGCAGCATGTAAGATTTATTATGATAGTAGTGTACTTTATATTATGCATAGAGGCTTTCATGAGAGGCAGGGAGAGTTTGAATGCAGTGTGTGTCATCATAAGTGTCAAGATAGTGTAGAATTCAATTTTCATATCACCAAACATCCAATGTAGAAATAATTTGAAGCTGTCTTCTCTATTTTGGTTTGAATGTATAGAATGATACTTTTCTCTACTGTAATACTACTGTAAGCTATGAGCATCAACTACTACATGTCAGCTATGTCTCTCACAAAAAAAAATGTCTGGGCTGATTTCATTCATTGTGAACTCACACAAAATAAGTTTTTGAATGAAATGTTGTTTTTTGTCTTTGATCATTTTGACTCACATAAACAATATATGTACATAACATGCACATATTATTCTAAACCAGTTTATATAGACCTTAAACCGCAAAAGATGTAATCTTCTGTCAATTGTTTCTGAACACGTGGGCTGAAGATCCCACATAGTGGCTCATTGATGCACATTATTTTGTTCGGCAATTCATTTATTGATGTAGGCAATGTAGCTTTAAATCTGAGCAATTCTGTATATATGTATGATGATGTTGCTGATGGTTTATCACCTGTCTCCATTAATATGTTGCTAATGATTGTAATTACTTAGATTGCCACCATTTAAATCGTCTATCATTGCGAAGACGTTTTAAAACCATGTACTTTATTAAGATTGTTTTAAAAAAGCAGCTTTTTTTAATAATATATTTAATATAGACAAGTATTTTAGATACTATTTTTTTCAAAATTAGCGTGCAAATCGGTTTGCAGTATGTTTAAAGTACAGTCTTGAACAATATATTTATCATCTTTCAATTTAAGTATGTTGTTTAACATAGTTTTAAAATATAGAAATGTTCATTATATTTACTGTCTCTGTACATTATTTGTATATTACAGTAGAAACAATACAAACATTTCTCCGTGTAACTCTTCTATGTAATAGGTGTGTACATTATATCTAGCAAACATAGCGTAGTAGCCTTCCCTGTAGAAATATGGAAGAACCAATTACTTGCTCTTTACATATACATGTAATAGATGTCATTATACTGAGGCATAACTCAATTCTAGCCCTCGTTTGAGATTTTCAAAGGTGGCCTAGTATCATGGGAAGTACCATTATGTAATTTCAGTTTGCAGTACCGATGGTGATTGTATCTTGGGAGGTGGATGGGCAGTTGTGTAAGTAATTGGCAGTGACAAATAAACAATAAAACTTGCTAAAGCAGTTTATGTTGTCACTAGCTAGTATTTAGATAAGTTATATAGTATCTAAACAAATATGGGTCAAGTCTGAACCAGGAGCAAATCTTGAAGGTACAGCTATCGACTCTCCTAACTAGACAAGTGCATAAAAAACACAAAAACAACTCTAGAAACAGGGCCTTGCATACTTTTTTGACAGGCCAAATGAAAATCCGACAGAAATGCCTGCACACTGAAATGATGATCATACATAAGTAATTGATAGTGATGGTAAATGCAAGAATGTACTGATACTTATCATCTTAAACTACATAACAAACTGTATTGATTTTGTGCAACTGGACCCGAGACGAGGGTGGTAACCTGTCTGGGGCTCTAATGAACCCAATAAGCCGAATCCAACATGATTAGATACGTCTAAGGCAAGAAATCATTGTTTGTACTCTCTGTCCCACAATGATCAGACCCAGTCTATAGCTGGTGCTTTCTGGTGAGAGATCTTTCAGGTAGAAAGGAATGAAAATGTGTGGTACCCTAAAAAAAAGTGCTAGTGTTGTCCCAAGAACCGTAGGTTGGATATGGATGTTAGTTCGTCTTGTCTCTGATTCTTTGTCCTGAAGAGGTGATTAGTTCATAAGGTGACTGATTGTTTGAAAGAGAGCTAGGTTATATTAGGTTTACTAGTATACGAGACCCGTACATCTCACGCATGTGTAGCGCGACAATTACCACCCTTTAATCGTAGTGTTCCCATTAATAAACTAACGGCCAGAACAATGAGGCGTATTATGTTGGAGCATAGACCTTAGAATGAGTTAAGGTCTATGGTTGGAGGAAAGCACATGCAACGGGCAACAATTGATTATTATGAGAGACCCCTCTGTTTGGTCTCACTACAACCAGAGATATCATTGATGGTTTTGTCAGAGAGAGTACTGATCAAGGCCAAACAATTCGCCAAAAGAATTATTCAAATTTTATTCCGGCATCAAATGATTCTTCTATTGTCACTGAAATAAACGACCCAGAGTGTGGGCTTTTTTTTTCATGATCCAATATTCTACCCAGTCCAGTTAACCACCATTGATTGCTCGGTCACCATACAGTGGTGACATACAGTAAGAAGTATTCAAAGCTGTCAAAGGGGTTGCATTAGTGGGCGGGCGGAAAGAAAATGCAAGAGGGTGAGGAAAATGTACCATAAAAGTAAGTACCGCAGTAGCAATCTGACGGGCAGAACCTATCGCTGTTGGAAGGGGAGGGGAGGGGAAATTCGTCATGAAGGCAATTTGGCGGGGAAATTTGTATTCATTAGGATTTTTACTTTGTGCATGGAAATTTTGATTGGTACTAGGCTAAATCTTAAATATTAAGCTAAAGTTACAAGAAATCGTAACAAATTAGTGAAATCATCTTCAGTGAGAGGCCGACAGAAAGGGGTTTAGCCTCTCAACTGATGGAGTATTTGACATTTTGTACCGTAACCGGGCTTCGCTTGACAAAACTTGATTGCAATAGATGGCGCCCGCTGAAGACCTGGTTGCAACCCTACGACCACCTTTTTTCACTTGCAACTAATTTAGTGCACAACGTCGGTATATGCTGTGCTTTCAATTTACATATTTCGGCAAATAATGCGTTATTAAACTTTAAAATAAACATTGGAGAAATCGATAGTTACAGGTATTGCTGATTTAGTTAATCAACCACTACTACTAGTAGGGTAAATAAAAACGTTCAACCTGTACTCAAAAAGTTAAATTATTGCTTATATTAGCTCAAATCACAGAGGAAACTGTTCTTTAACAGGTATTTATAGTTTCATTTATTCATGAAGGGTCGGGAAAGGAGTGGCAACAATGGACACAGGGGAAATATTTGGTTTTGAAGTGGGGGTAAAAAGTTAACAGCTAACGACATGTCCTAACCATTTAGAATAAGTTCGATCGTCGGTAATGTAAACAACTGTTTTCAAGACATTTATACACAAAAATATGAAATGCTTTCGTTAGCTACTTCTGTAAAGTATCACGTGACCATAAGGACTTCACTCACACAGCAACACATATTACTACCGGTAAGCTGTAAGCCACAACTCAGTTAAAAAAAATAGCTACTGTTATTGCAATGCACAAATAGGCAACGTCGTAACGAAGTCTGCCCGTCCATCCGTCAGAATGCGAGTTTGTGTCAAATCTTGTTTCAAAGATATCAGAAAAGTCACTGGCTAGATTTGAATAAAACTTTGTTATGACCTGATGAGATTTTGATACAAAACTGTGCATATTAATTATGTAATTTACATAACACTCATTTTTTTTCATTGTGTACATCTTCGCATCTGTTTTCATTGTGTTTATGTAGATTGATATCAGATAACAGCATCTGTACATATTGATACATCGATACCTAACCCCTAAAACATTAATGTAGAAATTGTAAATTTCCACAGAAGAAAATTAATTCTAATTTTCATTGATCCGAATTAATCACCAAAATGTGACTTTATCGATTGAAATGTGATCAAATCCAAATACATGTAATTAAAGCCTTGACACACTAAGCAAATATGTTCCATTTGGTATTAGTCATGTAAGCTATAAGTAGTTATCATGAATCTCCATGGAACACTTCAGTTTTCACACTACAGTATCACTCTGGAAAAAATGTTCAAATACATTTTCCAGAAATCTTATTAAACTGAGTTGGCATCATTTCAGTAGTCTAAAAAACGCTGCTGAACAGTAGCCTAGTTCCAGAGAAAATGACAAGAATTAACGTAACCACAAATTGAGAACATCCATCCACTATCTGCGTGTCAGGCATATAGCAACAACTATCGTGCTAGGGGAGCCAGGCTTCAAGTTATTGCTTTCTGTTCTCGTAGCTTACTTCAATAGTTCACAAATGGCCAGTTGGCTTTAATGGGTTGAAAACTGATACATGCATTTTTTTCAAAAGGAATAAATTTTGTACACTTGACTGATAATTATCTGTACATTTTAATCAGCTTATTTGAACAATTGTTTTAGAATGTTCAATGTAACAATATATTGATTGAAACTATGTACAAACTTGCTGTTTGCATTGAAGACTAATATTTATAATTTTCTATGCATATTAATACTACAGTAATAAATCATTTTCATTAACGTTTTGCTGATATGGATTAATTCCAGTGTTACATGCACAGATATGTAATGCGGATATAATAGCCTGCATTGTTAATTTGCATATTAATTGTACGTTAGCTTTTTTCTTGTATCATAAAAACAATATATTTGTCATTAGTTTTGAATTAGTCAATTCCTATATGAACTTGCATTTTAAAACAGATAGGGGGAAGACTTGCGAGCCAGCTGACTGTGTGGTGCAATTGTTTTCAATAAAGACACTTACAATACTGCATTAGCCTGCAATTAAACAATTTGGCTTTATTGCATTTTCTCTTTGGTGATGCAAAAATGTGCTCTTTTGCATCTAAGACGTATTTACCAGTATTTCAATTCGATATTGAATATGCCAACATTGCAATATCTCCAAAGCATAGTAAAAACAACAAATTGACAGCCTTCTAATCAAAACATGGTTGGAGCAAAAATAATTCATATTTTTTTTTGACATTTTCCTTGCGGAAAAGGTGTGAAGAGTCTGCGCATGCGACTCTGTAGGCTTCAGTTTCTGGTTACTTGAACTGGAAGCGGGTGCCAAAACATTCATAGATTCTATAAATGTTTGACCTTTTTGTTTTCCAATGTAGAATAGAACCAAACTAATATCTTGACTCAAAGTCAGTCACCAGTGACAGCTTAATATAAACTGCTGCAATCGAGGACAACCACTTTTCATCAAGATAAACTACTTTAGTACATAGCAGAGACTGACTAAAACACGGCTGCATGACCATAGAAGTATTTATAGCATAACCTATGGAAATGCAGATTGCACTGTGTAAGAGTTGGCACAAATTAACACAAAAGAAGCGTGTATTTGGAGTTGCACTTTTGATTGCTGTATATAATAACATTCATTGGTTGTTGATTGGTAGGAAGACTTGCAACATATTGGAAACACAAACTAGATTTCACAGAAGGCATATATAATACACACATTAGAAGAGAATTCATATGTACGTGAATAAGGTTGTGCTTACATATACTTCTGTCATAGGAAATGCGTTGATTGGTGCAGTATTCAAGCGTACTGACATTACATAAATAAATAAACAGGGGGGAAAAAAAGCTATGGCTAGGAATGGAAGCTAGTTTGACATACATATATATAAATATATACACAACAGCTTTCTAAAATCTGCTCCCAATTCTTAGTGCTGCACAAGAAAAAAATAGGTATTTGGTAAATAAAACCCATAATTGCTGACAAAACATCGAGAATTTAATTATATAAAATTATAGTAAGTAGCAAATTACTTCACCACTGATACTGGATGTCAATGGTACTGTCATAATAAGTCAACATACTCCACAATTCAGAAATATTATTACTAAGCATTGAAACATTGAAGCAGCCGACACAGCACATACTTCAGTGGTGTCAGTAGTGTAATCTTGGTCTATTATTAAGACATATTGAAAACTTAATTGAATGAAATGTATAAAAAAAAAATCAAAATGACTAGGGGTATATGAAGTAATGGAGAATTACATTTGAAACAGTGAAGCAAGGAACTACTGAACCATGTAAATACTAGCTTTTGCTCCAATTTACAACATTGTTTTGACTGACTTCTCTGCCAAACTAAAGACCAATTATTATACAGCATTGATGTACATCGTTCAATGCATATATTGAAGCAGTTAAGCAAGCAGTGTACTCCCCAGGCTGTTTTACCATACTTGGCCACTGAATTGAAACTTAATTTAATTTATTTGTTAATACGATTGAACAATTTTCAAATTTGTTTGACCAAAAATATGCTTTTCATTAGTAAAATGGGTTTCTGAGAAGATGTCTGAGAATTCCTTGCTTTACTGTATCGCTATGTAACTATTAGATTAGCTCCGAGTCCATGTACAAATAAAGGCTGATTAATTGTATTTACAAACCCATTTTTACAGAGATTACAACTTAAATGAATGCTCCATTAATTGGGATCCCATATTTTCTCTGAGATTTCTGCAATCAAATAAACTCAAAACAATTATAAAACTTATAAAGTTAAGAACTTGGGTAGTTTTTCAATTCAATATTAAAAATTTCTATATCCAGCAGAAGAGATTCAATGTTAGCAAACTGTCATAACACCAACACTGTTAATTCTACATCTTTTTGCCAGTATTATGAAACCAGTAATATCTTTTGTAAGTTGTGCTGCCAGCTATCAGAGACTTAATCCAAATTCAGTGATAAATAAATTAAACTGTAAATAAATTAACTACAGGAATTCTAACTAATAAATGCACAGAGAACAAAATAAAACTTAAGATGAGGCATATAATAAATCATTGCCATGGCTAGTAATTTTTTAAACATTGTAGACAAAATAATTTGCTTTAATAAGTTCATGTGCCTCTTTGAAAATCTGTACATATGTGGCAAAACATGCTCTGAAAAAACTTATGCAGGATCATAATGTATACTCACACACGCGCACACTAAAGTGAACAATAGAAATGTATCATCACCCAAGTATCTAAACTTTGCATATTCAGGAAACTTAAAAGAGCACCCACATGAATAAAAAATATCATGTCTACAACCAAATTTGTAAAAAGGAAAACTTGTTAACACACAAAACATAGTTGATATGCTTTTGCCAATGAAGGATGAAAATAGAAGCACGCGCAGACGCATTATTTACAGGTGTTTTTTATGAAAAATCTCTTGAGGTAACAATTTTAACACTACTGCATTACTATCTGAGAGCAATCACAATGACTAAAAGTTGTTGTACACGGGAGACAATCGGCTCTATAATTAAGCAACAGGAGACAAACTCCAAATAATAATTATAAAAAGGCACATTAAGCTAACTAATCTTCAAAAAAATGTCTTGTCATAATATAACATGTAAATATTTTCATTACATCTAGCAGTCTTGCAATACAACTTGTTTTAAAATACACATTTAAATACTGTAAAAGTTCCAATTCAGACATCTTAATCGATTAACATTGGTAGTAGTCTTTCATGTTTTTAATTATTTCAGGGCATTTTTGAGACTGATATCTCTGAATTGCAAACAGTCAAGATTACAGAACATTGAAGTGCATTATATACACGTACATTCGTAGATTATTAAGGACTATTCTAAAATAAAAGTACACAATGTTTTAGTTTGACTATAAATGATTAAGGGTACAAGTTTTTGAGTTGGCATTATTTTAGTAGTGATTCAAAAAAGATGTCATTTACCGGGGGGTATTCCCACTTTGCAAAATACTTCATTTTTTGCCTGTTAGGTAAAAAAACCAGACATCAAGTTCCTATAATCAGTGAGATATAAAGAGTGAAAACTTGATGCAATCAATACTAAAATATTAGTTTGTTAGTCTATATGTCTCAATTTTACAATTGTGAGGCATGCACACTAAAACAATGCATTGGCAGATTTCTCCACATCAAACAATTGCCCTTAATTATTATTAACAATATTTCATTAGGTCAGCTTCTAAACTTAATTATATAACATAGCAAAGACAGAGGGGAAAAAACATGTGTTTTTATGTTAGGGTTATGTCAGTCCAGAAATACTTGCTATCAATTTGTAACAAATTATACAAAATAACCCCCAATTCAATAAAATTTAAAGTATTGCCAAATGACACTTAAATTGGAACTGAACAGTATCTGCTGTTTTTAGGTTGTCATTAGCCTTCTGATCCAACAGTGGACTTGGGCTGATTAGCAACAGAGGTTGGTTGGCCATTAACTTGTGGAACTGTTCTGTCCTGCACCACATGTTGATGCAAAACATTTGCTGGTACATTATTTCCTCCTGTGGCTTTAGCTGATGGCAGCGATGGTGGTGGTGGTAGTACTTCTGCTGCTTGTGCTGTTGCTTCTGCTGCTGTACTTGCATTCTGGTGGTTGCCTTTAGCAAGAGGTTGCAATTTGTGTGTCTGCTGTTGTGTACTCAACTGCAATTGACTGCCACTGGCTATTACTCCCCCTCCTTGTTGTTGTTGTATATATGAAGTTTGTGCTTGATTTGTATTAAAAGTTTTTACAGTCTTTGGTATACCTTGCTTTGTTTGTGCTCCAGAATCATTATTTACTCCTTTCATATTTGTTTCCCACTCCTGTTTCAGTTTATTTTGCTTCAACTGGTTCAAACTCAATTTCTCAGATGAATTATTAGGTAGTTTAGGCCTTGTTAGATTATCCACCAGCTTATGTAAATCATCAGTAAAAAGAGGAGTTTTGGATACAGTTCCAGAAGCCCCTTGTTGGACATTTTGCTCTCCTCCATTTGAAGTGTTCAATGAAAGTTCACTGTGAGAGTGCAATCCACTTCCATCTTTCACACCAGTTTCAATCCTAGTTTGCGTCACATTACTTTCACCTTGTCTCTGTAAAGTTTTTTGACTGAGTATTCTGCTACCTGCAGCATTTGCAGGAATATCATTGCTTATATCATTGGCATTGACTGGTAAAGGTGCTGGTAAATTACTAGTAGTCGCTTTCTCTGTGAACAGCTGTGGTGAAGTATTCCTTGCAACCGGAACTGCCTGATTTGCGGCAGTACTAGTTCTATTACAATTTACACCAGATGCATTCACTTGTAACGAGTAACGTCTAACAGCACCAGATGCATCTTTTTCCCTACTCTTCACATATTCTTCAATCTCATTCTTGTGCTTATTTTCCAGCTCTTCTTTTTCTTTTCTATGCCTTCAAAAAATGAAACAAAAATAATACATTGATTAAATATTTATATCTTGTGCAATTTGTGCATGTTTGTATAAATAAATATGTTGCATTACAGCCCCAACAGAGATAAAAGCGTAACCTTTTTACCACCAGTTGCCTCTTTTCATCACTAATTTACAAAATATTCCAGTTTATCTGCACTTTCCTTCAGAAGATTCGAACAAAAATAGACAAATCTTCCAAGTAAAAACTAAAAATTTACCCAAATTTTGTCTGTTGGCTCCAAAATTAGGGTTATTTCCAGAAATATTGAAGAACATGGAAAAAAAATGCTGTCTGGTGGTGAAAAGGTTAAGTATCATTAAAGCCATCGGCAAAGCACAAATTGCAACTTATTTTTGATTTCCCTACTTGAATAAACAATAATACATTACTTTCTCACAGAAAGAGAACAGCAGTTTTTTTTTTATTCACAACTATTACTTATCAAATCGCATTGAGAGAGAGAGACAGTGATCAAAAACTAAGCAGCTCAGGAAAAAAAAAGAAAAAAAAGAGGAACATTGATGTTTGCTTACCTTTTCAGCAAGCATTGCAGACCTTCATCATTGGGATCAAGGTGAAGAAATTCAGAATCCTGACTGACAATGGGTGCAGAATCTGGCCTTGGTTTCTGCTGAATCAAACAAAACAAATTCAATTTTATACCATGCAAAAAAGAAATAGATACAGCAAGCAAGTAACAGAAGGGAGTTGTGCAGTGGCAATACACGGGAGAGAACAAAAATTGCCTTGCACTTTTGTAGTGTGTGCAGGCTTACAAGTCATTCTTAATGAAAAATACAAGTCATTCTTAATGACACAGTCTCCGTCCCAAATCGGCCCAGTCATCTCAAGATAAAGTAGCATTGGTACCATGAAAACAAGATGGCCGCCAGTATTTGTTCGAATCATGGAAAACAAAATGACGTGCACCTACAAACTCAATATGTATGATCATCATACCAACTTTGATCCAAATCGGCCAAGTCATCTCCGAGGAACTGCTACGGACACGTTTAGGTATCAGAAATAGCAAATTTTACATCCATTTTTGCTTGGATCATAAAGTAACTTGACGCACATATGTAATACATTATGTATTGTCTATTATGTAAAAAGATTGAATGAAATCCGTACATACATACGTACGTGTGGAGGTAACAAGCCCAAATTAATAGTCCCTGTTTTTGGATTTTGTTCAAACAGGAACTAAAAACTATTAAGTATAATATGTTTTGTCCTTGTACCAGTTTGGAATAGAATAGGTCAAGACATGTTCAAGAAATTACTGCTGACAGATGAACACACAAGTACAGTTATGATGAGTTAGTACGGAAATGATGCAAACACTCACCTGATTTTGAGGTTGTGGCAGTGGTGGTTTCTTGTCAGTAAATGGAGCATTCTCTAAATGCACTGGTGGCAATGACAAACCAGTGGTACTTTTAACATTTACATTAGCTGGAACTTCAGAAGAGCTTCCTGGGCTATGACATGGTGAGGTATCAGTTGATGATATTAATTCTTTGTCAACTTTCAACGATTCACAAGAAGGTACATAAACACTATTATCTTCATTTTTAACAGGACTTATCTCATTTTCAGGTTCTACAACAGTGCTTTGCTCGTGAACATTCTCAACAACAGTTATCTGGAAGCGTCCTTTTTGAATATTTTCTGGCGCGGATTTGCTTGTTTTCAATTTGGCCCCATATTCTACCTGTTCTTCAATGGCAACAGCAGTCCGCGATACTAAATCACTAACAACACTTTTTACTGTGGGGTCCACATTGGCAGACTGCTTAGCTAGAGCTAGAGGATCAGTAGGCATAATGGAAAAACGTCCTTTCACAATTGGCATACGTGGCTCATTGACTGTAGGAAGGTTTCCATGGAGCTGTTCTTGCTCTTCATGTGATACCAGATTTGCAGGAAAGTCTTGCTGGGAATGGTGCCGAGTGAGAAATGTTATGCCTTCATCACTTGATATTGATGACGTTTCCT